GAAACAAAGTGCAATACTTAGGGCGATTATGGTCTGACAAGCCTGGGCATAAAACAATTGCATATTTACTGCAGAATTTCACCGATTAATGTCAACGGGAGATTGCTGCTTACTTCAGCAAGACCAAGATTTTACCTGTGAAGCCTAGGATTACATAAATTCAATTTTTATTTCAGCCGTGATATAACACGCCTGAAATGTATTCTTTCAGATTTCTGAACTCACAGCTGTAAGGCGAGTCATTTTAGAAGGATCACATCGACCTTAAAATAGAATCATAGAATAGTTTGAGTTGGAAGGGACCTCAAAGATTGTCTAGTTCCAACCCCCCTGCCATGGGCAGGGAAACCCTCCACTACACCAGGTTGCCCAAAGCCTCATCCAGCCTGGCCTTGAACACTTCCAGGGATGGGGCAGCCACAACTTCTCTGGGCAACACTACACCAGCTCAGTACCTAAACAATTCTGGGGGCACATCCTAGTCACCCCGCAGTGGCAGCTGGACTCAAGTGAAGCTCACTCTTTTCAAGGTGACTGATGTTCAGAAGAGAGTAAACACTCTGCAATTTAGTATACTTAGGCTCACAGATGTTGAAAACAATAACACAAGCTAGTTGCCTCACAACAGGAAAACTGTAGAGAAAACTAATCCCTACATGAACTGCAAAACAACTCAAATAGTTTAGAATAACAAATTAAATTACCTGCTATGTAGCAAACCTTCCTGGCCAGTGGGACTTAAAGCCACACATATTTCAGAATAATCACTTATGGAGTGTCTTAGCATTGTCAAACTGTATTGATTTCTATATACCAATGTATGACAGTTACTTTGCAAAAAAAAAAAAAAAAAAAATCATTTATCTTCCAGGAAAGAGGGAGGCAAGATGTCTGGTGCCTGTGGTATGTGTGTGAGCACAGATTTACACACATAGAAAGCTTGCTGAATATTTGTGGTTCTGAAAGGTATTAACTGCGAGACAGCACACCATCAAAATCAAGAGGAGCTCTGCCATTTGGCTCTCAAAGCTCAGACTCCACTTCTGAAGTGGCCAGCAGCCCAGCAAAAAAAAGCCCTAAGGAAGCAATTCTTGAGACCCATCATTTTGGTGCCCCTAAATTACTTCCAAGGTCAATTACTTTCTGGTCAGCTTCTTCCGCTCTCCCAAAGGTCAATACAGCAATGAGAACATCACTTCAGAGACTCTCCTGGCTCTCCTGAGCTCCACGTATTGAGAAAGCAGTGACTGAATAGTTTTTAAATGCACACTAGCAGCTGTGTGCTTAAAACATGCACTTTAACACGCATTATTAGACTTTAAAAACATGGAAGGATTGAGGTACTCTAGTCTGCATAAATGTATGTGTACAGACATGTCAGTAAATATATGTTTGTGTACAGATCAGAGACTGGCTATGAAGTGCACAAGAATTACTTTTTTTTTTAATTATACCTATTATACTATGAAAGTATAAGACCTTGATAAAGGCAATCCCATCTCCACTTCTGAGGGATACAGACAAATTCTGTAAAATTTAAAATTAATTGATGCAGGCATTTACATGAGGTCCATTGCGCTCAAATAACTCAGAACTTGGTTGGAGGTTACTGCATACACAGACTTGTACAAGGATTAATTTCGCCTTCCTCCTCCAACAACTGCAAGCTATTACAGTCGAAGAGCTCGGACGTTTTTCTGTGCACGAACGTAGCAATATCAAAGGCAAATTGAGACCTGGGAAGTGTATGACAATATTTTTAACAAGCAATTAAAGTATGTGATGTTAGAATCCAAACTGTTTATCTTTATGATGGAGAACTGAATGGACACATCTGCTCAAGAACTTGCCAGCATGGTAAGGTGATCACACTTTCTAGAGTGAATGGATGAACTTTCAACTCTGCTAAAACCTAATAAGCCCTACAGTCAAAAGCAGAGAAGAAATTATGAGCTTGACGGAACTGGTTTCAGCAATTACAGGACAAGGGTGGGCAGTGACTGGCACAGGAGCTGCTGTTAAGCACTCTCCAAGTTTTCCTTTTTTAAAAAAATGAGAAAAAGTTTGAGAAGTCAGAGCCAAGAGAAAGGCTGAAGTAGCTACAGATATCCTGGAGAAAGCATTTTACTTCCTAATGTTTATTAAGTGTATCAAAAATAAATTCAAGACTACTTCCAGGAAGGCCTTCTCAGACCTCTGGCACACTGTTTCCAAAGCTCAGGTCTTAATTAAAAATCAACTCCGAAAAAGGACGTTTCCAGCTTTTGAAATCCACGGAACCTAAAGTTTGTCCTGGCATAATGGTCAGGCCATCTACGGAGACAGTACTGGAGTCTTCACAAATAATCCTGCACGCAGGAAAACTACCCTTCCTTCAGAGGTCAAGTGCTTGAGCCCATTACTGAGCAAGTGGAACAAGACAGGCAGCAAAAATTAGTTTACATGCATTTTTTTCTGCAACTTGAGAGGAAAAAAAAGTTGGTTACATCATAGAGCCTGCTCTAGAAGACATGCAGACCCAGTAGCTTTTGGAAGCAGGGGACAAGAAAGAACTTAATAGTAAAAGGCAGGAGAAACTACTATATGGGAAGAAAGCAGAAGAAAATAAATGAATTCATAGCTGTTCAGAGGGCCAGAGGGTTTTCTGGCATTGTCTCAAGGCAGAATATCACCTTGATCCTGGGTGGCAAGTAGAGTGGGAACACAGTGGCCTCTCCCTTAGCCAGGGTATTAATTTCATTGTTAACTTAACCTAGAGAGTTACGTTGTGTGAGGAGCTCTGCATCTCTGAAATCTCTCAAATTTGGCTGAAATTCATCAGATAGACAAAACAGGCAGACACAGAAAGAGAGCAGAGGATAAAAACCAAAACGAAACAAAAAGGAAAAGCTCTTCAGTTTCATTTCCTTAGGAAACAGGCTTAAAAAAACCCCAAACACAACAGAAAAAACCCACATGTATTAAAGTTAAGAAATACAATAAATATTGATCTAAATTTCACTTTTCTAACTAAAGAGTATATTAGATATTTAACAGCTGAACCTGACCAAGGTAGGCGTGCAATAGCTCTGGTGATCAAAAAAAAAAAAAAAAAAAATCTAAAGTTATATATTATTTACTAAAGGTGGTGGTGCAAGAAAGATAAGGTAACAGTGAGGGCAAGACTGCTCTTGTATAACACAGTCTATGGTCTCCCACTATGAAGAAACATTTTTGTTTTGACAAATTCTAACTGCCAAGAGCCCGACCCTGACTGCATTTGGGCAACAACTGGGATGGGAGCCTGAGAGGACCAGGCTGTGAGGGAGCTGAGGAGCTGCCCCAGTGTCAGACAGCTCTAAACCAACATGGATGACAGCATCGAGTGCACTCTCAGTAAGTTTGCCGACGACACCAAGCTGTGTGGTGCCATGGACTCATTTGAGGGAAGAGATGCCATCCAGAGGGACCTTGATAGGCTTGAGAAATGGGCCAGTGCAAACTGCATGAGCTTCAACAAGTTAAAATGCAAGGTCCTTCACCTGGGTCGGGCCAATCCTAGGCACAAATACAAAATGGGCACAGAGTGGGTTGAGAGTAGCCCTGAAGAGAAGGATTTGGGGATGTTTATAGATGAGAAGCTCAACATGAGCCAGCAGTGCGCTCATGCGGCCCAGAAGGCCAACCACATCCTGGGATGTATCAAGAGAAGGATGGTCAGCAGGTCAAGAGAGGTGATTCTCCCCCTCTACTCTGCTCTTGTGAGACCCTAACTCGAATACTGCATCCAGTTCTGGTGTCCCCACCATAACAGAGACATAGATCTGTTGGAGTGTGTTCAGAGGAGGGCCACAAAGATGATCCAGGGGCTGGAGCACCTCTGCTACAAGGACAGGTTGCGGGAGCTGGGATTGTTCAGCCTTGAAAAGAGAAGACCTCGGCGGGACCTAAGAGCTGCCTTCCAATACCTGAAGGGAACCTACAGGAAGGCTGGAGAGGGACTTTTTACAAGAGTGTCCACTGATAGGACAAGGGGAAATGGGTTTAAATTGAAGGAGAAAAGATTTAGATTAGATCTTAGGAAGAAATTCTTCAGTACGAGGGTGGTGAGACTTTGGAATAAATTGCCCAGAGAGGTTGTGGATGCCCCCTCCCTGGAGGTGTTCAAAGCCAGGTTGGACGGAGCCTTGAGTAGCCTGATGTAGTTGAGAGGCGTCCCTGCCCATGACAGGGAGGTTGGATTAGATGATCTCTAAGGTCCCTTCCAGCCTATGCCATTCTGTGATTCTATGGTGATTCCCTGAAGCAGGGTACATTATTTGCTTCCTCCCTCTTTCCCAGGCTATGCAACCTCCATTTTGCTGCTTTTACTTCCTCTCACCTTTCTTTGTCAAAATATAAACTACGTTAACTTAAGTCAGAAAGGATCAGGTGGTCTTTCTGACACACACTTGCTATTTGCTCACACATTGTTTTGCATTTTGAGTTAGTGCTCATTATTCTACTTGGAAGTTTAAACATATTCTACTTACCCTATTAAAATCTGCCCTGTAACACTCCATCCCAACTCTGATTTCACAAACTCTGATATTCTTTCCTAGTCCTAATTAAATTCACTCTAGATTCTAAGTTTTCTGAGCACCCAAGACAAAAATGTTGTTTCTTTTATCCGTTTCTCCGATTCACCGTACTACGTACAATGCAAGTAACAGAATCAAGCCATTCAAGAAAAATGGGTGATTTTTTGAAGAAGTAACTCCTTAAATCCAATGGCAACATTCCCAGTTACGTCAACACCCTTTACAAAATGTGAGTAGCATAAAGGGGCTTCAAAAGCGAGTGGGAATAGACTCCTCCAATCAACCACAGTTGCTAGAAGTTTCATTTTGCAACCCTCTTTCTTTACAAATACTTCGTTATTTAGTATAATTTGAGCTTTTGAACCTTAATGAAAGTTACAGAGTGACTGCAGGTCACCTGAGTTGTAAGCTAAAAGGT